GTATGTAGATAATGTCGAACCTTTCAGATGTCTGGTCTGTCTAAGATGACAAAAGGTATTCCGCCACTTGACGATGAGTAGCTTTCATCGCAATGAAGCCTTTCCGCCTTGCATAAGTCTCAAACGTTAGCCACTTTTCATCATACAGGTTACGAGTAGATCTGCGTAACGCTAGCATTACTGCCTTGGCTGCCCTGGCGGAGTATCCTCTTTTCTTCAAACATATTTGGTACGGTCCACACGTGTAGCTGTCGGGTTCCCGTGGACTTGCTTGGTGTGCGGATGTATGAGTAGGTTCGGCCAATCTGGTAACTTGATTGTTGGACTTCCGAGATCTTCTATTAGGTCTAGGAACCATACTCTTGCTGGCCAGATCACGGCTTTCATCTCTAGCAGATTGATGTGAAGATGCTGCTCTATTTTGGACCACCTCCCTGATGCAACTTGATTGTTGAGATGCGCACCCCAGCCTTGTATCGAAGTGTCTACATAGAGATGTGTGTCGAAGGCCGGCTCTTGTAAATAGGTCCCTCTGCAAACGTTCGACCTGTGGGTCCACCACAGTAGATACCTCTTGAGGTTGTCTGGCAGCAAGATTGGGTCGACGCTGTCTAGATGATTTGTCAGAAACCGTTCCAGCGGTCTTAGTTGTAACCTTCCTGTGCGAGTCAAGTCCTGCGCCGAGGTTAGTAGACCAAGTAGAACTTGCCGTGATCGTAGTGTTAACAGAGAGATGACAGCTAGTGGAATCATAGCTTGTATCTTGACCCAACAATCTTCTGGGAAAACAATACGATTCTCTGTTGTGATAAACCTTATCCCCAGAAATTGCAGATCTTGTTTTGGTTCCAACTCAGACTTCATAAGGTTCACCAACCATCCTAGTTGAGTGAGCAACTTGATTGTGAAGTTCAGCTGCAGTCTGAATTGACTGGCATCTTGGTGAACCTGAATTCCGTCGTCCAAGTAGAAGGCATTGCGTAGACCTCGATGATGTAGATATGCGACTATAGGCTTGGTTACTCGTGTGAATAGCCATGGAGCCGAAGATATTCCAAACGGTAGGACGTTCCACTGGAAGTGCTGCCCTCTGAATAGAAATCGTAGATACTTTCTTGATTCCGGACGTATGGGGATGTGTAGGTACGCATCCTGCAGGTCTATGCTGGACGGACGAGTTGTTTCAGTTGAGGTAGGTGAATCATTCTGAACCTGAACATGTAATCTGCTGGACGGACGAGTTGTTTCAGTGGAAGTAGGTGGATCATGTTGAACCTCTCTGGTTTCAGTAAGTAGTCTCTGTTGAATTTGCGCATGTTGTAAATCAGTCTGAACTTCTCTAAGGAGTTCTTCTTTGGTACTAGAAAAATTGGGGAATAGAAGCCTGGGGTGAGATGATTCCGATCTAATATCTCTACTGCATCTTTCGTGAGTAGTGCGTTGATGGCTTCTTGTAGTCTGTCGGCCTGTTCCTCTGCATAGTTGAAGACCATCGGGCTGAGGGTTAGCGGAGGAGTGGCTTTCACTTGTACTTTCTATCCTTCTCTTAGTACCCGAGAGGCGTAGTCGTCATCTAGAATTCCCAAATTCTTCCAGTACCCTTGTAGACATCCACCCACTGTCGATAGTTTTACAGGAACAGTTGGGGGTGGAAGACTCCAGTCGTTCCGAACCCTGATATCATCATCTGGTACCTCTGGAAGCTCTGGGGCCGCGGCCTCTTCCTGAGTTTCACCTGTAGTTGCCGGAAGGGCGACGAAAAGAGTCCTTCCCGCCTCTGAAGTTGGAGTACTTCTTATCCTTAGCTCTCTATATTCCGGAATACTTGGACTTGTTGCTATACTTCTGGGACGTATGACGGATGACGTTGGCCAGGGTATCTATGGTTTTAATCATCATCACCTCTCTGGAGTCGTGTGTGGCTTTCATCATCCAAGAGACCTCCAAAGATGGTAGGCGCCTCCGACAGAGCTCGTAGTAGTGACTGCGTAAATCTATCATTCCAGGAGCAGGACGCCAGTAGACCCGTCTGCGTATTAAGGTGAGCCCAGCCGAGATCGATGTGAGGTGGTCCGACACGAAGAATTGATCCTTCTTTTGTGTGACGAGAGCCGAGTAGATCATCTTATCCTCTTCCGTCGTGGAATTCTGGAATTTCTTTATCAATGCTTCATTGATGGCTCTAGATCTTGCCAGTCCGAAGAAGGATCTTCTAGAAGCTGTATCCAGTTGTGATAGCTTCTTGTCATCCACTTTATACACCTTACTCCTGGCGTCGTTCACCAGTTTGATGTTGTCATCCCACTCAGGCGCCTTCACAAATGGTTCCATGTGATGTAGGGGGAATCTCCTCTTATTAAAAGATGGTGGTTGCTGCGTCTGGTACTTTGAAGCCTTCGCGAAGGCTGTGCAAAGGTTGTCCGGTACGTTGGATATAGGCTCGATCGGTGGAATTGTGACGGAGTCGAAGTCATCATCCTTCATCATGTAGGTGTAAACTTCATTCCTATCCTTAGAAGGAGACTCCAAGTTTAGCCCGCTAGCAATCCATGCTGTTACTTCTGAGTCTGAGAAGACGGGGTCTGTAGTGTCCTGGGTAAACGAGCTGTGTCTTGTTGAAGTATCTCTATACGAGCCTGTATCCCTTCGCGAACCTTCATCCTGGATTCGCGAACTTGCAGCTGAAAATTCCTCGCTGTGCGAATGCCTATCCTGAGAGTGTTCTCTTCGCGAACGTCTTTCTCTGTGCCTTCGCGAACGTCTGCGTTGAGGCCTTCTTGACCTAGAGCAGCTAGGTGTAGAGGCAGGATCCTTGGAGGTTCGCGAACGTTGGGGGTTCACGAAGCTGGACAGCGTATCATCTTGACTATCTTGTAGTATGACGGGGTCGTCCGGCTGTGTACGTTCGCCAACGTCATCTGCATGTGTAGCTCTGATGGGTGTAGATTCGCGTAGGCCTGGGGGTTTGCGAACGGTGTCGGCAGACGGGAGGCTCTTCCTAGTCTTCGATGCTCCTGGAACCTCCGCTCCATCATGGCCATCATCTGAGTGGTGAACTGCGTCATGAATTCTCCAGGGTCGACCTTTTCCTAGCCCCCTTTGCAGCAGACTGGCCCTGTAACGTACTAAGAATAACATCACTATTATGGACATCAGCAGCAAGTAACATACGGTTTGTAGGCTGATCTGCAGATTTATCACACGTGACTAGAGATGCCTTTTTCACCCGATCCATGGCACGTCTATAAACATAAGACAAATATTGATTAAATTGTAGATTGGTTAAATCAATGCAATAAGTACAACGCAAGGTGGATGAACATGGATCTGTACACGAAGGACATTGGGGGTGAGGATCAGCCACGGACAACCTGTGCCGACACACACAGCAGGATTTCATGAATTGTAAACAAGTTTACAACACGATAAAAACACGAATCAAAGTCAATAATTTTAACCAAATTTGTACAAATACTACATAATGATTATAGCCAAATCCATACACAGCTTAATTTAGAAGAATAGGCCTAAAAAGAAACGATAAAATTGCCGTATACGGGACTCCAGTGCTCACCCAACCATCTGCTTGGGCGAAAAGGGAGAGAGTGACAAGTATGGGCATGTCACATGGTACATTTGCGCGGGAAAGGGCAAGGGAGGTAACTCGTGGGTGAGTATTAATACGTCCGCTTCAGGAACTTCAAGGGATTCAAGTGTTCCAATACCATTCGAAAGGGAAAGGGAGATAAGCAAAAGAGCATGAGTCTGGATAAGGACAAATTGTATGTTTTGTAGGCTGTCTGCATCCATACATTTTACCGTGAGCCTTCATAACATACTTCTTTACACTATGGCTTAATTTCATCATGAACCGGTGAGTCAGTTTTGTGATATTTCATGGAATGTACTTGAATACTGCATTGCGAAAGACAGCTTTGACAAGGCAAGGAGTCCACACCCCATACATAGGTTTGAACCCCGGCAGCGATCAGTGGTTCACTTTCTCATGAGAAAATTCTGAGAAATGACCTGAACAAGACAGACAAGTGTATAAGTATTCCTGTTTATTACCCACGTGGTCAACGTATGGGTAGTTGCATACTAATCTCGTACGTCACACGAGTGTCGTATCGCGTTGACCTGTGTCGTAACGACTTGACCTGAGATTCTAACGATTTGATTGGATAACCGATGACCTCTCAATTAGGTCACATTCTGACGTAACTATTTTTTCATTCATAACAAACACGTGAATCCATTCATTCTACAACTTAAATGCATTGTGGGAATGTAAACATCGCGAACAATGCCGTGTCGCTGTTTAATTTTGAGTCGAACTGAGACATTATACCCGTCGAAAACGCAAAGCGCAAAGTTTCCACCAGTGATGTTAGCGAATGAAGCAACTGGAAACCAAGAAAGGAGGTGCTACCGGAGTAATTTACTGTAGGAGGCTGTGCGAGGTGATGACAACTGACATGCATCGTGACATCGGTTACCAAGGCAGTGACGTCATTACAGTGTGGCGTCATGCAAATTTTGTACTACAGTACAAAACTCTTCCATAACCTCTTTATGAAACCCGGTTTTGGTTTGAAACCAAAACATAACAAAACTACGCTATTTTGTCAATTTAATGCATGTAAGGCGTGGGAAATAAATAAAATACCACACTTTCGGTCTCATTACATACGAATTATCTGAAACTTCGTGACCTTCCTATGGTTTCTGACCTGCGCTTTGGCCGGTCAGATACCACAGGAAGGACACTCGTTTCGTATAATTCGTATGTAATGAGACCTCGTATAGTATTCTCTATATACCTGTTACCTGAAAAACAGTCAAGAAACCTAGTCTAGGAAATACTACCTGATGAAGTACAAAACTAACACAAAGTAAGTTAAGCATGTATAACACTGACTTGATTCCTAAATGAGTATTAAATGAAGACATAACAGTGTTTATCCCTTTTAAACATCAGGACTGAACTTGTTACTTACTGTTTGAGCCTTCTGGAGTTCTTCCTGCAATCTGTGATAGGCATGTTCCTTCATCTCTGCCATTGTCTGACTGCGCCGTCGAGCCATCTGCAAGTCGGAGGTCTCTGCCTCAGAATGAGCATGTCGCAGGTGGGCACGAGCGGGATGTCGACGCAGTTCAACAACTGGACACTCAGACTCTTCTACAGCCTCTTTACTAAAACATATGCATTCCAACATTATACTCTGCCCCGTCCTACTGTATTTGTTGGTCAAAATAAATTGAGCTTGCTGGGCATGTTGGTATCATAGCTAAACGCTGAGTATGAACAAGTTTGTGTGTATTGAAAACTAAACAATGCTTTAGTTTGCAGTCACACACTTTAAAACGGACAACAACAAAAAAAAACTTAATAAAACAGTTCTTCCACTAACAGACTTCTTGCTAAGGAAATGCAATTCCTCTGGCAACCTGACTGATACAGTGGGAAATTCAAACCTGGATTTCAAAAGAGAAACATATTTTCAGAAAGTGTGTTTAGTAGACTGTCTACATCAATACTTTTTACAGTGAGTCTTCATAAAGTACTTCTTTATACTGTGGCCGTATGAAATCATGAACCAGGGGGTCAATTTTGCGATATTTCATGGAATTTACTTTGGAAAGTAAAAGTTTCCATGCTTTGCATGGAAAGACAGCTTTCACAAGGCAACATGGCCAAACGCTACTTGGATATAGGTTTGAACCCTGACCTTTAGGACTCAAAATGTCAGAAGGCAAATACCGAACAAGTACTGACTGACTGACTGACTGAGTTTGGTTTTACGCCGCTTTTAGCAATATTCCAGCAATATCACGGCGGGGGACACCAGAAATGGGCTTAACACATTGTGCCCATGTGGGGAATCGAACCCCGGGTCTTCGGCGTGACGAGCCAATGCTTTAACCACTAGGCTGCCCCACCGAACAAGTAACTTTAGCTAATACAACATACTGTTCATCGGGCATTGTTCCATCAAGTCCATTAATAGCTCCTGTGAATGAAATTGAGCGAGTTACACTGTCACGGTTTGACACCTGTGACCTCTGTTGTGTCGATACTTGTCCTGAGCTGCCAATTCCCACTATGGAGGAATCCCCCCGGTTTCGTCCCTGTCTCAAGTCCTACAGCTGCAGCTGCCATACTGCCAACTACAACAGCTGCCACAGCACTAGTCTGATCCACAAGCTGTGAAGGAGCACCTTGCGGAGGTGGTCGGCTGCCCCACTCCATGTCACTTGTACCTGTTGTATTAGCAGCTTGTCTATTTGACACAGAGGGTGACTGTCTGTAGTTGGCTTCCTGTCCAACACACGCTTCTCGCTGTGTCAAGGTTTCAGCAGCTGGAAGCTTGGAGGCAGCGACCGTTGTCTGTGGTGACACAGGTCTGTCTGAGACTAGAAGCTGAGCATCTCCTGACATTGTCACTGCTGTGCCTCTTTAAATCTATAATGCAAAGAATAATATATAAAAGAAAGAATATTGGTGCATCATATTACCAGCCATGCTAGTATGAAGAAAAATGCATACCACTATATTATTTTTTTATGTGTTGTCATATTGGCGGATTTTTAATATCCCTTTTGATAACAAAACATTCTTGGATTCCTCCAAAATGTTCGCACACTTCCAATTATGTACCTTGAGAAGATCCTGCATGGATTATGTACAATCACATGATTTGTACCTTTTCATCAACCACAATCTGAAATCATCCCATTTTCACAAGACATTTCAATCTGTTACTAAGAACTAAAGGTTATCACAGCTGCACACAGCACTGACAGTGTCAGCACATTCACAGCTGCACACAGCACTCACAATGTCAGCACATTCACAGCTGCACACAGCACTGACAGTGTCAGCACATTCACAGCTGCACACAGCACTGACAGTGTCAGCACATTCACAGCTGCACACAGCACTCACAGTGTCAGCACATTCACAGCTGCACACAGCACTCACAGTGTCAGCACATTCACAGCTGCACACAGCTGCACTGACAGTGTCAGCACATTCACAGCTGCACACAGCACTGACAGTGTCAGCACATTCACAGCTGCACACAGCACTGACAGTGTCAGCACATTCACAGCTGCACACAGCACTCACAGTGTCAGCACATTCACAGCTGCACACAGCACTGACAGTGTCAGCACATTCACAGCTGCACACAGCACTCACAGTGTCAGCACATTCACAGCTGCACACAGCGCTGACGGTGTCAGCAGCATTCACAGCTGCGCACAGCACTGACAGTGTCAGCACATTCACAGCTGCACACAGCACTCAGTGTCAGCACATTCACAGCTGCACACAGCACTCACGGTGTCAGCACATTCACAGCTGCACACAGCACTCACAGTGTCAGCACATTCACAGCTTCACACAGCACTGACAGTGTCAGCACATTCACAGCTGCACACAGCACTGACAGTGTCAGCACATTCACAGCTGCACACAGCACTCAGTGTCAGCACATTCACAGCTGCACACAGCACTCACAGTGTCAGCACATTCACAGCTGCACACAGCACTGACAGTGTCAGCACATTCACAGCTGCACACAGCACTGACAGTGTCAGCACATTCACAGCTGCACACAGCACTCAGTGTCAGCACATTCACAGCTGCACACAGCACTCACAGTGTCAGCACATTCACAGCTGCACACAGCACTCACAGTGTCAGCACATTCACAGCTGCACACAGCACTCACAGTGTCAGCACATTCACAGCTGCACACAGCACTGACAGTGTCAGCACATTCACAGCTGCACACAGCACTGACAGTGTCAGCACATTCACAGCTGCACACAGCACTGACAGTGTCAGCACATTCACAGCTGCACACAGCACTGACAGTGTCAGCACATTCACAGCTGCACACAGCACTGACAGTGTCAGCACATTCACAGCTGCACAGCACTGACAGCTGTCAGCACATTCACATTCACTGCACACAGCACTCACGGTGTCAGCACATTCACAGCTGCACACAGCACTCACGGTGTGTCAGCACATTCACAGCTGCACAGCACTGACAGTGTCAGCACATTCACAGCTGCACACAGCACTCAGTGTCAGCACATTCACAGCTTCACACAGCACTCACAGTGTCAGCACATTCACGGCAGCTGCACAGCACTCACAGTGTCAGCACATTCACAGCTGCACACAGCACTCAGTGTCAGCACATTCACAGCTTCACACAGCACTCACAGTGTCAGCACATTCACAGCTGCACACAGCACTCACAATGTCAGCACATTCACAGCTGCACTCAGCACTCAGTGTCAGCACATTCACAGCTTCACACAGCACTCACAGTGTCAGCACATTCACAGCTGCACACAGCACTCACAGTGTCAGCACATTCACAGCTGCACACAGCACTCAGTGTCAGCACATTCACAGCTTCACACAGCACTCACGGTGTCAGCACGTTCACAGCTGCACATTCTCACAATGTCAGCACATTCACAGCTGCACTCAGCACTCAGTGTCAGCATTCACAGCTTCACACAGCACTGACAGTGTCAGCACATTCACAGCTTCACAGCACTCACGGTGTCAGCACATTCACAGCTGCACACAGCACTGACAGTGTCAGCACATTCACAGCTGCACAGCACAGTGTCAGCACATTCACAGCTGCGCACAGCACTCACAGTGTCAGCACATTCACAGCTTCACACAGCACTCACAGTGTCAGCACATTCACAGCTGCACACAGCACTGACAGTGTCAGCACATTCACAGCTGCACACAGCACTGACAGTGTCAGCACATTCACAGCTTCAGCACTGACGGTGTCAGCACATTCACAGCTGCACACAGCACTGACAGTGTCAGCACATTCACAGCTTCACACAGCACTGACGGTGTCAGCACATTCACAGCTGCACAGCACTGACAGTGTCAGCACATTCCACGGCTGCGCACAGCATTCACAGTGTGTCGGTACATTCACGGCTGCACACAGCACTCACAGTGTCAGCACATTCACAGCTGCACACAGCACTCACAGTGTCAGCACATTCACAGCTTCACACAGCACTCACAGTGTCAGCACATTCACAGCTTCACACAGCACTGACAGTGTCAGCACATTCACAGCTGCACACAGCACTGACAGTGTCAGCACATTCACAGCTGCACACAGCACTCACGGTGTCAGCACATTCACAGCTGCACAGCACTGACAGTGTCAGCACATTCACAGCTTCACACAGCACTCACAGTGTCAGCACATTCACGGCTGCACAGCACTGACAGTGTCAGCACATTCACAGCTGCACACAGCACTGACAGTGTCAGCACATTCACAGCTTCACACAGCACTCACAGTGTCAGCACATTCACAGCTGCACACAGCACTCACAGTGTCAGCACATTCACAGCTGCACACAGCACTCACAGTGTCAGCACATTCACAGCTGCACACAGCAGCACTCACAGTGTCAGCACATTCACAGCTGCACACAGCACTCACAGTGTCAGCACATTCACAGCTGCACACAGCACTCACAGTGTCAGCACATTCACAGCTGCACACAGCACTCACAGTGTCAGCACATTCACAGCTGCACACAGCACTCACAGTGTCAGCACATTCACAGCTTCACACAGCACTGACATTGTCAGCACATTCACAGCTGCACACAGCACTCACAGTGTCAGCACATTCACAGCTGCACACAGCACTCACAGTGTCAGCACATTCACAGCTTCACACAGCACTCACAGTGTCAGCACATTCACAGCTTCACACAGCACTCACAGTGTCAGCACATTCACAGCTGCACACAGCACTCACAGTGTCAGCACATTCACAGCTGCACACAGCACTCACAGTATCAGCACATTCACAGCTGCACACAGCACTGACAGTGTCAGCACATTCACAGCTTCACAAACAATTGAGCAGTATCTGCACATTCCCAGCCAAAATCCCAGTCAAACAGTATCAACACATCCATAGCTGCACACACGAGTTGAACAGTTCAGTTCATTCACAGCCATAACCAAATATAAAACTGTTAGTACATTAACAGCTGTACACAACACTCACAGTGTCACCACATTAACAGTTGTACACAACACTCACAGTGTCACCACATTCACATCCACATAAAGCAGTCAAACATTCTCAGTACATTCACATCCACATAAAGCAGTCAAACATTCTCAGTACATTTACATCCACATAAAGCAGTCAAACATTCTCAGTACATTCACATACACATAAAGCAGTCAAACTATCTCTACACATTCACAGCCACGCAGCAAAGCAGTCAAACATTCTCAGTACATTCACAGCTGCAAACAACAGTTAAACAGTGTCAATACATTCACAGTTACATAATACAGTCTCTGGGTTAGGGACTATTTTCCAATCAAGTTTTGAGTTTAGTACAGAAGAATGGCCACTGTGTATGCAATTAATAGCAAACAATTGTGTGCTAATGACTTGGTAATTATGGCTGAAGGGATGGTAGCTGACACAGGTACTACAGATATGTACCCCAAGTATACTAGGCACATAAAGAAACTGTGCATACACAAATTTAAAATCTATCAAAATTTATCAAACCTGTGTAGACATATAAGGATTTAAACTCAGAGATTAGTGACATGTATCCAACATGCATGCACGTGCCACGTTCCGTGATGTCAGTGGGTTCGTCCTTGAGACGTGCAATACGTTGTTGCGTGCATTCCGGGAAGGAGAAACAGAGCAAATGAATGCCACACAATACTGTCACTTTGGAAAGCTCAACCCCTGCCCTTGCGATAATTCAAAAAATTAAACGGCTATTGAAACACATAGCATGCCAAGGCTCATGTCTGCACAACGTCATGAGGCCATAGGGATGGTCCGTGGGGAATGTCTCAGCGACAAGTGGCTGCACATTTCCACTGCCACGGAACATCATTTCTGCACTGGTGAGGCGCTACCAGAACACAAATGGCGTCATCGATCGGTACGTTCTGCCACAACCGATCGTAACCAAGACAGGACAGATGGATAAGGGTGACCCATCTTAAGCCACAGGTTTCAGACTGCAGTGATGACTGCCGAACCATCCCAGGACTTCGCCGTATCCACCCCAACACAGTTCGACAGCGTTTACGTCATCACGGGATCAGACCACGGCGTCCGACATACGGCCTATCCTGACACAAGCGTCATCGACAAGCTCGCCGAATGTGGTGCGAAATCATGTCCGCAGACCCTTGTTTTGGTGGAGAAATGTTGTTTTACAGATGAGTCCAGGTTTAACATTTCCCATAGTGATGGGCGTCAGCGTGCCTATAGAGGCGTGGGAGAACGTTATGCACAGGCCTGTGTCTTGGAGAGGAATCACTTTGGTGGTGGTTCTGTGATGATTTGGGGTGGAATAACAGCACGCCAAAGAACTCCTTTGGTGATTGTTCAGGGCAACTTAACTGGTGTGGGCTACAGGGATCAGATTCTTCGAACTGTGGCAATTCCTTTTCTGCAGCGTCATGGCCCTGGGTTAACATTCCAACAGGACAATGCATGCCCTCATACGGCAAGGGTTGCTATGGATTTCTTGCAACACCACAACGTTGACTTACTGCCTTGGCCTGCAAATTCACCGGATCTCTCCCCGATAGAGCATGTTTGGGACGAGATGGATCGACGTCTACGCCGTCTTCCTCATCCGCCAGATAACGTCCTTGACCTTGCAACAGAACTTGAGAGAATCTGGCGTGACATCCCACAAGCCTTCCTTGCACGTTTGATAGGCTCTATGCGTCGTCGATGCACTGCTGTTCTCAATGCCGATGGTGGACATACCCGTTATTGAGCTTGTGACATGGTCGTTTGACCCCTGTCCCGCTTGTGGACTCGTGACGTCATTGTGATTGACTTTTCAATTGAAATTCTCCCGACTTGTTATGGTCTCATGATCCCTCCATTAAAGTTTATATGTACCTTTGACATTGTTATCGTACTTATCAACTGGGATAATATTTTGACAATGCACAGTTTCTTTTTGTGGCTAGTATATGTTTCTATACACAAATGTACCCTAAATTAAGTCCAATTAAAGAAACATAAATGGTACCCTAAATGGGGGACAAGTCCATATTCCACAAAACCTTATGTAGTTATTCCAATTCAACTGATTACAAGTGGTATCGTACATTGTGAAATATTTGTTATAACGTATGCTCATTTCATGGATATAACGCAATCAAATGCATCTCATAAAACATCATATTTGGATGTACACACAGTGCGACATCACTGACAACAAGAATCGCTGCATTACATGTAACCTAATCTAACTGCCCACATGGATAAATAGGAGTCACTGCACAAATTTTAATTTTTAAAACATCGGGCACTTTTTCAGATTAATGATTAGCGCTGATGGGGTTTCCTAACCCTTAACCCTAATGATCGTACAGGGTGCCTAACCCTAAGGATCGTAAAGGGTGGCATACCCTAAGGATCGTAATGGGTGGCATACCCTAACCCTCAGGATCGTAAAGGGAGCAGCGAGGGCTGCGCCCGGTAAAGTGCATTCTAGCCATTGAATGGAAAATAACAGTTGTAAATACTCCAAACCCCAGAAAAACATCCACATGAATCCTTGGACCTTTCAAACAGATTCAGAATCAGATACTTTAAACTCAAAGATTTATACCAGGCTAATATTTATGTGGGGAAGATATGGAAAGTGTACTCCACGATAATGATAATTTTCATGCATTTTCGTAAATAAATAACTGAGTTTGATTTCTGACCGTCATATTCCTTGTGTATTCAATATTTCTTCCCAGCGATGTAACAGCTGACATAATAAACACCTAATCCGCCATGACAGTGACCAAAAACTACTTCCCTACCACTTTCAATAGTTGGGTTTCAGACTTAGTGGCGCACGAACAATTTACTGCGCATCTGTTGATGGACAACCTAAGTTGAGTTATCAAATAGTTCAAGTGAACGACTCCGTCAACATATAATGGATATACGCTTGGACTTATTTGCAACCAGAAAATAGATTTTTAAATTGAACTAGTTTTCGATCACTGATCCTTCTGTTTGTCAACCGATGAAAAAACAGAAATCCTTCACAGTTAACCACGTTTCATAAATCTTCAGCCGATGTCTTGCCAGTCGCTTACCACTCTTCCCTTCTTGGAACAAACGCCCGAGGGGTGTAACTGTTCCATTGTTCTCATATTATTTAGTTTATTATGTTTGTTATTTGAAGAAAATGGGCTTCTACTTCGATTTCAATGATATTTACTTTCGGTGTTGAGTTTAAATTAGATTCTTGCTATCAGAAATTTAAGCCCGAATTTGTCTGCATAAATACTTTCCTAATATCGATACTGTCATAACACTTTTTAAAAAGATACGTCGTTACGAATGTCGAAGCCAGTTTTTTCACATAAAATGCGCATGCGTGTAGAGAAGTCTTACTTCCAACTCTGCACAGCGGAGTACAACGGTAAATAAACGTAAATGTAGAGTGAGGAACAGTCTGACCAAGTCGAGAGTTTTCAGGTCGTGACAGTCAGTGCTTATGGTGCCACGACACAAGTGTCACTGCGCACACAGAGCGTATAATGCGTGTTTACCTGTCAACGTATTTATATCGTCTTTCCTGGAGAAACCTGGGGCTACCATAGCAGTAGCAATGACGGGCTTATTCATTATGACATTTATGCTGATAAAAATCTGCTTTGACAAAGGCATAAGTTTACATTGTGTGTATACTGTGAGTGATATCCCGTTGCATTAAAACCTCACTTGTCCTCAAATGGTTGTTGAGGTCGCATGAGGTATTGATGTGAGATTCGATGACCTAGTTTGGTGACAACGATATGGCGAGTTGTTCATTATCTATAAATTACTGGGGCCCGTTTCACAAAGCCCTCTTACCGGTACGACCTCGTATTAGTCGTAAAGCAGGTCGTAGACCACCTCTTATTTTTTTTCCCCTGTTGTTGTTGAGTTTAGTGCTTTTGAGGTCGCCTTCGCCGGTTGGCATGTCGGCAGACCTATCCCTCCTTGGGATGCGTGGGGTGTCCCTCCTTGGGACTCGTGGGTGTGGTGGCGGTGTCCCTGCTTGGGACTCTTGGGGCTGGACCGGGTTGTCTTGGGGTTGTCTTGGGTGTGGGCGTCTCTCCTTGGGCGCTTGGGTCGGAGTGTCCCTCCTTGGGACTCTTGGGCCAGGGCTGGAGTGTCCCTCCTTGGGACGCTTGGGGCTGGTCTGTCCCGCCTTGGGACGCATGGCTGGACATTGCTGTCCCAGCTTGTGTTGACCCTCTTCGGGTCGCATGGTTTGTCCCTCTTTGGGACGCGTGGGTGTGAGTACACGAGTGTTGTGTGTACATACACTGTATTTTTTTAATTTTTTATTTTTTGGGGGGGAGTGGACACGGCCGCTCCCCTCCTCACACTCTGGGGAGCAGACACGGCCGCTCCCTTACTCTCACTCTGGGGAGCAGACACGGCCGCTCCCCTGCTGTCACTACTATCACTCCCCTACTTTTCACTCTGGGGAGCAGACACGGCCACTCCCCTGCTGTTACTCTTGGGGCAGGCATGGCCGCTCCCTTACTCTCACTCTGGGGAGCAGACACGGCCGCTCCCCTGCTGTCACTACTATCACTCTGGGGAACAGACACGGCCGCTCCCCCGCTTTCACTCCTTGTTCCATTCTGGGGAGCGGACATGGCCATTCCTTGCTCTCACCTTGGAAGGTGGACATGGCCGCTCACTTGCTCTCATTCAGCTCACTCACCCTGGGGAGTGGACACGGCCACTCCCCTGCTGTTTCCCTAGGGGGTGGACACGGCAACTCCCTGTCTCAAGACCCTCGTTGGGACGCATGTGTTGTCCCTCTTTGGGACGCATGGTGGACTGGCGTGCCAGTCTGGCAACCGGGCATGATGACAGGCTGTGCGACCGGCGTGTTGTGGCTGGGCTGGTCCTCTGAGGTCAGGAGCTTGGTGGTATAATCTCCTTGGCGCCCTCGGACAAACTGAAAACTGGCTTGATTGATATAATTTCTATTTTTAAATATACTGACATAGTTCACTTTCCAAGAGGAAATTGGCTAGCGGTCTGTACATTGCAAGGTGCTCCGTGGGAGCCAGCAGCCGCTTGGCTGTCAATGTACCTAGCCCTGTTTCCTCTCTGAGTGTTTGCCTGGTTGTGTCAAACCGTTGGCAATCCAGCATAATGTGAGGGACTGTAGCTTTGGTGTGGCATGTTTGACATTTCTTATATGAGGTTTTGGTGGTACCTAGTCTTAGGCGGGTGATCATGATGTCGACTTCGCCTGTTCTGTGAGGGAGTAGTTCGCGTCCCTTTCACACTGGAAGCGAGTCCATGATACCATCTGCCTTTGTCTGAGGTTTCCCATTGCCTCTGCCACTTGCTAGTGATCGAACCTTGGATCATACTTGAATTTCGCTTTTTGAGTAAGGATGATCCAGTGACACGCCCAATTCTAAGCCTGTTTAGCTAGTTTGTCAGCTCTCTCATTACCGGGAATGTCTATGTGAGATGGTATCCAGCACAGTGTTATCTTTTTCTCATTTTCCCTTCTTAGTTTCTGAATGAGAACCAAAATGTCTCGGATGGTGTCAGGTCTACTGCTCGAATGCTTAGTTGCCAGTGACTGTAGTGCACTGAGAGAGTCAGAGAGGATGACCACTCTTTTCTCTCTAAGGTTTTCACTGTACCTTAGTGCATGGTGTATGGCTTCTAGCTCCGCTGTGTAGACTGACTGTCCGTCAGGGAGGCGGACCGAGATGGTTTGGTTGTTCCCCGTTTCACAAAGACCTCTTATATTTACACTGTGCCGTAAACAGCCCCGATTGACCTGTCGTAAATGCTTAAGGAGGTCGTAAACACTAGAAAGATGGCGTCAACAATTATGCCACTGCAAGTGATAAAAACGAGCTAACAAAGAAGACCTGAGAAATTTTGAGACAGGTCGAACGTGCTCGACACTCTGGATGATGTTGACATGATGTCGAGATATAGATTTCCTAGGCATGTTGTTTTCTAACTGTGCAGAGAGTTAGAGCCCCAACTGAACAAACCTACAAGGCGTTCACATGCTATTCCGACCTCCCTGCAAGTGTTGTGTACACTGAGGTACTTGGTAAAAGGGGCTTTCCTCAGTAAAATCATGGATCTCCCATGGAGTTTCCAGAGATAGAATCTAGTGTGTCAAGAATACTCCGCGACACCATTAGTGCTCTGGCCGAGTCTCTGGACTTGATTAAAAAACCCTGGGTGACACAGGGACTTATACATATGTTTGCATTTAGGAATTAAGATACAAAGTCGTGCAAAATGTATTCGGACACTTGACGTAATTTCCATAGACTTACCTGTTAATTTATTGTAGCATAAATAATTTTCCTGAATTTAATTTTCATAAGATCCAAATCAAATTTTGCACATTTGTGAGGAATCATCTTACCTACAATTGCATAATTTCTGTTTAATTTTCCGTTTCTTCTTTATCGAATGGCAACAATTTAATCAACATGCGTACAGTGAAACGCGGCCCTAGTTCTTACAATCAGCAGGGTCACAATCAGGGGTCACATTTTTACCACTTTTGTTGAAAAACCAGGAGCAAAAGAAGTGCCTAATGGTTTATGGAAATAATATGTCTACAGTAGCACTTTTATCCTGAAACAAATTTTTCTTATTTTCACCCAGTTGGGCAAAACATATCTACGTTCCATGGGCAAAGAGCACAACAAAATGCTGTATAACACTGAAGATATATTAAACGTTTCCTGCAAAAAGCAGTTTATTAGAAGAAAAACAACAATGAGGGTCAATATGTGTGGCAGGGGTGCCTCATAACAAATAAAAGGCAGGTATTTGAGGAGGTGATATTTATTCATCCTGTAGTAATATACTGATTGTGTTGGATGTTACGCCACTTTTAGCAATATTACTGGGTTACACCAGATTGGTGCAGAGTAATACAACTTCCTCATGACATGAAATACACAATGCCATTTTAGAAAGTGGTCAAATTTAACGTATGTTATGTTTGGGATTACACTCTCTTAGTGAAGTACAGATTCTAGTACTTTTTGGGTTGAGTCCCATCCAGGATTCGAACCCGCACCCTCAGAAGTCAGGCACCTAATCACTATCAGAAGGGTACACAAAGTCCACAGTCTAGACTACCAGTTGTCCGACTTCCATTTTTGTGGAAGCCGCGGTGGCTGAGCGGTCTAGGTGTCTGACTTTGTGTGCTGGCGATTAGGTGCCTGACTCTGAGGGTGCGGGTTCGAATCCGAATGGGATTCCACCCAAAAAGTACTATAATCTGTTCTTTACTAAGAGAGTGTAATCCCAAATATAAGATATGTTACATTCCTCATGACAGATTACCCTTTCAAAGTTACCTTATGTTTAAAGACAATAGATGCTAGTGGTAGAACAACAAGGGCATCAAAAGTTAAAAGTATTCTTTTTAATTTTGGTTTTGGATATGTTTAGTTGAGCCAAGATGTTGGTGATTTAAAAATGTTTATAAGCTTTAAAGGGGCACTGATCCAGAGCGATTAATGTTTCTCGCCAACAGTCTAATTACGAAACTTAGCTGCAAGCTGGCCAGTGCCTGCTCCCTCGACCGTGACGGACACGGGGGCTGGGCTACTGTCCACTTTGGCAGAATTTCTTCAGCCTAAACAGTGGGACATAAGGAAGGGTGGATGCCGATCAGATGCCGTTAGTTGAAAATATTCCTGGGAGTTCTTGTCTGATTGTAAAAAAGTATCCCAGCTGTGTAGGCTTTTCGGATTTTCTAATGCCTGGATTGTATATT